CATGAAAAAATTTAAATTAATAAAGCCAATTATATTAACTACTTGAGTGATTTGTTGACAAAGAGAGCATTCAAATCACACAACAAATTGAAGTGAGAAACTACCTCTCAATGTCCTTGTTTGACAATCAGCAATTAGCGGATTATATTAACGAATTTGACAAGCGAATTATATCAATGGTTGGTAAAAAGATATTTGAAAAAATTAACTGTTTAAATTAACATTTAAAATGACCTAAGGGTATAATAATAATAATAATAATAATAATAATAATAATAATAATAATAATAATAATAATAATAATAATAATAATAATAATAATTGTTTTAATAATAATTTTTAAAAAATATATATATATAGATGTGTTTTGGGGAAATCATTTTCAAAAACGTTAAGTGAAAATATTGTAAATTGCAATGTTTGTATTTTCAGTGGTTTGGAAGAAATTGTTGCTTTAAACTGTTGAATAACCAAAACACTTTCTTTAGCATTTTGATCTTTGGGTTACATCATATTTACCAATCGTCCAATATCTTTTTGTTACATTATAATTAAAATTTTTAAATTTTTACTACATCTAAATTCCTTAAATTAGGAATTTCTTTATCCATAATAATTTATGCAATAATAATGGTTGAACTAAATGAACACTGAGCAAAACACCTAAAGGACTGGTACCGTTGATTCATTCATTGATCTTGTATATATTTGCATTCATTAAATATATTAGAACCCTTTGCAACAAAAATACTTGGTTACTATTTAAAAAAAAAAAATTAGTACCAATTATAATGAATCTCATATATATATTCATATTTTATAAATTACATATTTAAATAAACAAATTAGACATTAAATTACTTATGTTGAACTTCTCATATATAATCTTGTATTTATATACTTTCAAATATTTATTTAATTATAAACATTGGGTAGAAAAAATGACCGTCAAATTATTAAATCAAATGAATAGTTTAGATTGTTCAGATTTTAATTTTTCCGTGAGATTTCCTAATTTATCCTTAATTATATGATTATCCGATCCGTTAACTTTTCCATTAAGTACCGTTAATTCACCGTTAGTCTAATTCTAATATTAAAGTCTAATATAAAATTATAACTACAACATTAATCTAATTCTAATATTAAAGTTTTAGAACTCTAACCACAAAACCTACCGCCGGAATCTTCTCAAACAATATTAGTATATATTTAATATTTTATGCTTTAATTTTTATTTACTCTCCCTTATGTCCCGTATTTGGTTTCAACCATACCCATGCATACAATTATTTTATTGACAATTATAATCAATCTTGACTATATTATTTTGCATTTGTAAACTTAGAATTACCAATTTAAATACACAAATTCAAAATTCAATTATCTATGCATGAACCATTCTAATATAATCTTGCCTTGATATACTTTAAAATACTTATTTAAGAAAAACATTGGGCATTATCGCAATGCGCGTAAAAAACTAGTATACATATACATATACATATACATATATATATATATATATATATATATATATATATATATATATATATATATATATATACATATATATATACATATAATATATATATATATATATATATATATACATATAATATATATATCTATATATATATATATATATATGTATATATATATATATATATATATATATATATATATATATATATATATATGCTAGGCCTAAAGGCCGAGCCTGGTATATATAGGCCTGGCCTGTTTAGTTTAATAGGTTTTGAAATTGACTCAAGCCTGACCTTTTTACTAAACGAGCTAGGCCTAACTAGGCTTTAATTAAACTAGGACATAGGCCCCTACAAGGGGCCTGGCCTATTCCCACCCTAGTCGTCAGCTAAAATCCTATCATGACGCGAGGGAGTCACTATAGTAATAGTGTGCAGAGAAATGGTCGAATCAATAGAGAATTGATAGTATATATGCAATTTATAATCTTGAAATTAATTAACTCGATGATTCAAAGTACTAAAAACAATTGCCAATAATAAGAAAATGCAAAACAATTAAGATTAAAGTTAAGCAAATGGATAAGTGAATTAAAAGTTAAGAAAATTAAAAAGTAATTTACCAAATATTACTAAATAATCAGAATTGGGAAAAAAAACTAAAGACATGAACTCAATATCACTATTGATTTTGCACTATCTAATACTACCAATCAAAAATATTAACCCTTAAAATCAAATTAAATAAAACTTAGCAAATTAATAGCAAATAAAATAAAGCTTAATAACAATTTGATACTAAAATCAATTAGCAGATTTAATAAAACTTAAGAAAACAACCATTAAAAGCACTTCGAATAAAACTAAGCATTCTAGGACTTAGTGTCCACAAAGCAATTCATTTTACAAAATGGGAATTGAAGAATAATAACAGGCACTGCAATTTGAAGAAAAAAAGAAGCAAAAAGCAGGAAGTATGCTGCGGCTTTAGAATTAATCTACTGCTAAGAAGAGGGTGCTGTCGATCGAAAAATCTCTAAGCTCGCCACCGGACTTGTTGCCGCCCGGACCTTCGTGAACAGAACAACGCCGGCACCTGGACCAGAATTCAGAATCTCCGATAGAATTTTGGTGGAGTTAATACCATATGAGGTCCTTCGAGTATAGTGGTTTTGTCACGTTTAGTCCTAAATTTTCAAATTGACCATCTGTGGTCCTTCAACTTTCAAATTTAACCATTCGTGGTCTAAGTTAACCACCCATGGTCCTTCAAGTTTCAAAATTTAACCAGCCATGGTCCTCTTGAAAGGACCATAACTGGTTAAATTTTGAAACTTGAAGGACCATGAGTGGTTAACTTGGACCGCGAATGGTTAAATTTGAAAGTTGAAGAATCACAGATGGTCAATTTGAAAATTTAAGACTAAACATGGCAAAACCACTATACTCGGAGGACCTCAGGTGGTATTAACTCAATTTTGGTGAGAATGGTGATGGAGAGACGACCGGAAACCTCCACGAACCACCAGAAATCTCCGGGGTGAATATGATGATCAAGAAGATGAATCTTGACCTTCTTTTATACAATTCCGACCCAACCGTTTTCCAAATTATGAGTTTCTCCATGGCCGAAGAAAAGTTCTGCAAGTCGCCTCCATAACCGAAGAAAGCTCTTAGATCTCTTTTTTTCTCGTTCGGTTGATACGAGCGATTGGCTGGCATAATGATAATGATAATGATAATAATAATAATAATAATAATAATAATAATAATAATAATAATAATAACCTTATTAAATTTATGTTAAGAGATTATTGGACTAACAAATTTATTAACAAAATCAACTTAATAATAAAAACGACTCTAAAAATAAACAATAACTATAAAAAGTTTATTAAAAATAGCAATAAAAATAATGCTTATCAGTCCGAACGGTATTTCCAAGTTGGCGACTTCGTGTTGTGAAGGAGGGAAGCTAGCCAACCCTTAGAAGGAGGAAAATTCACGCAGAAATGGGAGAGACCCTATATCAGTGAGGAAGCCATTCGCACAGGAACATACAATTTAAAGACAATAGGAGGGAGGATGGTCGATCGAATATGGAACTCGGAGCACTTGATTAGATATTATCAGTTACATTTTGTAATCATGGTCCGCCCATATCTATGAATAATATTTTGTAATCATGGTCCACCCAGATTATTTACTTAAATAAATTTGTTGAAATCACTTTTGCAATCCATTGGAAAGTTAGAATCAAGGCTCAGCAACCTATTAAAAAAAAAAAAAAAAAAAGATTACAACAAAAAATTGTTTATTTCAAATATAAGAATTCTCGAAGTAATTATCTAAAACATTATTTCAAGTTCTCGGAATATAGCTAAGGGAAAACGCAAAGGAACTACTCATCCCCAGTAATGTCTTCAATAAATATCTGCTCGAGTGGAACATCAAGGACATTGCTGGTGTCAATGTGAAGAAGGTCAGCAATAGGAGAACATTTGCGGGTGGCATCCTTCTCGGCAGTAACACCATCGACTGCACCATTCTCGGCATCGGGATCAGGATTTTCTTCTATCACAGGCAAGCCCATGGCCACTGGATCGAAACTTGAAACTTTTTCGCGTAGCACCGGAAAAATTTGTTGTTGCTTCGTATACATCCCAACCTCAAAAGCAATTTGAGCCTCTGCTTCAACCGCTTCTCGGCCCGCTTTGGTCTTGAGGAATTCACAAACAGCTTCAGTGTTGCTCATATAGCTCATCACATCCTCCTTGTACTTGGTGGAATGCTTATAGATCTTCTCCGCCTCGCTAAGGGCAGCAGCATGGATGGCACGAGCCTTCTCATGATCTTCTTGCTCCTTCTTCAACGCAACTGTAAGTGCTTCACGGTCCTTCCTCAGCACCCCAAGCTCGCCCTCCATGGTGCTTAGAGATCCCTCTCGCGCCAATAATAGCCCCTTGAGGCGTTTATTGTCCTCAATGAGGCCTTTATTATCCTCAAAGAGGGCGTCCGCCACTCGTCTGTGATGGGCGTGAATGACTTGTCCTTCCTGCATAGCCTATAGTGACGGATAAGGTGAGACATATCGAAACAGGGAAATAGGAACTTAAGTGTAAGAAATTAACCTCAAAAATGTGTCTAAGATACTGCTCTTGTAGCAAATTCACATCCATGGCGGCCAAGTAATTCACATTCGCAGGGGGAGCAATGCGAGAGGCATACTCAACCGCATCAAGGTTACCATTTATTATAGATGCTCCGGGAAGCACGTCCGCTCCTAGTCGAATCAAATTGGTCCAGACACGTGAACTTTGGTCTGCAAAATTTTCTCCCTGCTCAGGGGGCTGGGAGGAAGGAATAGAGGCCCTAGGTGGAGTAGAGGTTAGAGTTGGTGGGGGCAGCGTCACACCCTCAGCAGCTGCAACCTGATTCTTCTTTCCATTCCCGCGAGAATTGTCAGTCTTATTACCTTTCTCTGTTTTACTTTTCTTGGGCGGAGGATTTTGTGACTGCGACTGGTATCGGTCGAATCTTGAAGACATAGCACCTGCAACAAATGGAAACATTGTTAAAAGGCAACATCAATAGAAGGATACCCGTCAGTTTTAGGGCAACTGGTCGAGTTCTCATAAAACCCAACTTTGCAAGCTCCTACTCAGTGGTATAATTAGTGACCTTTAAGGGGCTACCCCTCGTTAGCTCAACTACATCCTTACACGCAGAAGGACGTTTATCTACAAGTGGGTGACACCGCACTTGAGATCCCCACGGCGTTAAAAGGGGGTGGAAAGCCGAGAGAAACAAAAATAAATTTTAGTTTCAACACCTTATTAAAAGTGACACGGTGATAAAAAAAAAAAAAAAAAAAAAAAAAAAAGCTTGAGACGGGGTCTACTAGAGACAACAACGAAACATTTACCCTCTCCTGACGACCTACCAACTAAAAACAAAGTTTGGAAAAGACTTAATGTAGGTTTTATTCCCCTCTCTCGGCATACAAAAAGAAAGCCAACAATCGCTTGGTGGCCATTAGGAACAAACTGACCCGGGACTATCTCGTAATAATTTAAAAAGTCTACTAGAAAGCTGTGAAGAAGAAACCAAAGTCCTAGTTGCATGGATAAAAGATGGATCCCAAAATACATATCTTAAGGAGGATTGGTGATATTGGCGTGAGACTCAGGAAGGATAGTCAAAACATCAAGACCCGCAAGTCCTTGGATTTCTTCCCAATCATGGGAGTCTAATTGAGAACGTATGGATATGATAAGAGAATTGTCGAGAGGGAGTGCAGTGTAACACCCCCATTTTTATAACCAAAATTTCCTTAAATATTTTTATTCCTTAATTGAAAAATTACTAAAATCATAGCGGAAACATTTACTAACCAAAAAAAATAGGTGTTACCGTCACGCTCAGTTATTTCTCCTATACCCAAATGCTAAGGCTAACATTACAACATCGGAATAATATCTCAAAATCAACTTAATACATAAAACTAAAATTACTATACAACAATATTTTCCTCAAAATAACAAATAAATAAACTTTATTCCTTCTCAACTTGAATTCATCCCAAATTCCTATCCATGTTCACCTAAATAAATAATTTTACACAAAAACATAATGTAGACAAAAATTAGCATAAGCTAAGTAAGTTCCACTTCACCCCGTAAAATATAGGCTTGGATATTTATATTTTTAAAACTCAAATATTTTTGTACTTTTTCCAAAATTTATGTGGAGATACACTTTACCTTGTAAGGAGAATTAATATTTATTTATGGAGAAGTAACCAATCCTTTTTTTTTTTTTAAATTCACTTAGAAACTGGATTAAACACTACTGGAAATTCTGAAATTTCCGACCACCTGAAAATGATCTTAAATTAAGTTGATACCAAAAAGTCAAAAAAGTGGTCAGAAATAGCAACAAAGATTTTTCCAGATACCAAAAGTGGTCGGAACAAGACTTTCAACTTGATTTATAATCACTTTCAGGTTGTCGGAAATTTCAGAATTTCCAGTAGTGAAAATCTATGTGCACACCCCAAGGGATTCTGAGCCACTGGGTAGTATACGATCCAAGTAGTCAAATTTTCCTACTTATTACCACTCAAACAATTTGGAAACTGGATCATAACCTGTGTGTACACCCTCATGGCATTCCAAACCCAATGAGTAGTAAATAACATAAGTGAACAGTAATTCTCTTTACTGAACACCCACACAATCATAATGGTTTCTCTAAAATCACATTATTTCTCCGCAGATATATATACTATTCTTCAAAAATAAAATTTTTCTAAAATATACTTTTCTCCAAATATACAATTCTCCAAAATATTTTTCAAAACATTTTTTTTTTCTCCACATAATTTCTCAAATAATCATTTTTAGTCCACAATACACAGCAGTAGTACAAATTTCACCATACAAATATATATATTACACAAAATCATTCCAAGCCATTTTTTTTTTACACAACACACAGATTTGACACGTAGAAACCAATTCTCGATATTTCGAGAATCACCACTCACAATATTACCATTTATTTATAAATGTACTTGTGTTCACATACATAACATATATCATGTAATACCACATATAACATCAATACATACAATACTTGAGAGAAATAGTAGTGTTTGGTGAACATAAAATCTTACCTTTAAAGTCCAAAATTTCTATCAAACACTTAATTGCATCCTAACCACCTTGATTGGAGAACTGTGAATCACACAAATCTAATAATATATTACTAGCTAATACTACTACTATAAATTATTATTATTAATATTATTAATTATTAATTGCCGTATCCTCACTATCCATCCATCATTATCTCAATTCATTATCAACGTAACATTTCCTTATCATCTTTATCATCAACCAAAAGAAAATAAATATCCAAATTAAATCTCACCAATAACCTTGATAAACTTCGTTGGCCACCACACCGCCGCACCACTCGCCAAACGTAAAACTCCGCCGTCGACTAAGGAAGCGAGAGAGAAATGGGTTGAAGAAAAATGGTGAGAGGGAGATCACGAGAGAGCTAGAGACGAATATATATATATATATATATATATATATATATATATATATATATATATATATATATATATATATATATATATATATATATATATATATATTTTGTCGGAGAAATAAGGAAGGCCGAGAGGGATGGAGTGAGAGTCTAAGAGAGATGGATTGTTATATATATATATATATATATATATATATATATATATATATATATATATATATATATATATATATATATTTTGTCGGAGAAATAAGGAAGGCCGAGAGGGATGGAGTGAGAGTCTAAGAGAGATGGATTGTTATATATAGCAGTGTATAACGTATGTATATATATAGTCTATAGTTATATTAATTAGGATTATGAATTGAATGTTTACATATATATAATACGTTACTAAAATAGAATAGGAAATAGAATATAGAATACATATATGTTAGGAAATAATACATATACGTGTGTGTATATATATATATATATATATATATATATATATATATATATATATATATATATATATATTAGGAGTATAATAAATAGAATAGGAATCATAGTATCCATAAAATAATATTGGTCAAATAATCTCAAAATAATTTTTGGTCAAAATATAACAAAATAATTTATAAGTAAAATAGTATAATTATGGATGATATAAGATCATATAAGTAAAATAGTAATGGGGATTGCAGGAAGATTTGATGGGAAAAGCCCTCTTGACAACAAAACTTTATTTGCTAACACTTTACTGGGCGTTTGGTTGGAGGGGGGGAATTATGTAGGAAAGGAATTGTAATTTCATGGGAGTTGAATTACTGGGAATAAAGTGTGAATTTAAATTCCAGTGTTTGGTTGACAGGAATAGAATTACTGGGAATTTCAATTCCAATGTTTGGTATACATGAGAATTGAAAGGGAATAAGTAGTATAAAGTCAAAAATGTCCATTATTATTGTTAGACATTAATTTTAGGTTAAAAAAGGAAGGGATAATTTTGACTCATCACTATCTTTTTTTCCCAGGAATTAAAATCCCAGGGGGGAACATGGGATTTTAATTCCATGAAAATGAGGGAATTGCAATTCCCTCCAACCAAACTATGGAATTTAATGGCCTTTGGAATTATGTAGGAAGGGAATTTAAAATCCCTCCAACCAAACGCCCTGTTATGGTGGATTTGGAGATGGAAAATCGAAGCCATCTTCAATAATGTAGCAATCGTTATACCCGGCCTGCACCACGGCGCACACAACACTGTGCGTCCCGCGCCTCCCAAAACGATATTGGATCTTGGAGGCATGGCTTTGCATATAACATAGGGAGGTGCTCACCACTGGAAGCAGAGGTATGGTCTCTCCTAAAGGGGATCCAGCTAGCCGCTTACCTAGGGCACAAGAAAGTGATTTTTGAAATGGATGCCAGTGAGATTGCGAATCTCATAAATAATTCCATGCCACCTATAATATCCTTCTTGGCGGGTAGAGGTGATCAATCGAGAGCAAAATTGTGCAGCAGATTTCATGGCTCACCTGGCCAGAACCTTCTCCAGAGGCTTGCATGTGTTTGCTTCACCTCCAGAGGATATAAGGGGCATTCTGGAAGATGACATGTTTGGTTTGCCTTGCTGGCGTTTTGTAAATAATACTTAGAGGACTATATTTTGTTTTACCTGGGTTTCCTCCTACCTGATAAATAAATAAATAAAAAATATTAAGAGCCTGAGGAATAAAATAAAATAAGGTAACAAGGATATGATAATTTAATAAAATTAACTCCGCACGCACATATGGTTCTCATATAGTGTCCAGAAAATATGAGGTATCACATGCGGGGCTTACACCTCTTCTTTTTTGGACATGTTCTAGGCATTGATGAATTAGAAGACGATGGGTCAAGAGTGTTGGGTAATATGGTTGAAAATTCCCAAAAATAATAATCCTACGAAAAGATTAATATTATATGGGAAAACAGAAAGAATTGGGAAGGAAAAGGTTGAGTTTTTGGGTAGGGATTTAGCACGAGTTCGAACTCGAAATTCTTTTCCTTAAAACCTTATTTGCTACCTCCCACAAGTGCTAGGAGCGTTGTAGCCTAGGTTTCCCAGGATAAAACGTGCTACGATTCCTTGTTTAAGCACCTAAACAAGGAACCCGGCAAACAAAGCAAAGCTGGAACACAGATTAGCTAAAGAAGAGAGTAGAAGCAGAAGTTTTGAGATGAAAAGTTACTGGAATTCCTTTGTTTCTCACTGTGTGTAAAATGCTACTGCTTCTACCTCTCTTTATATAGGGATGTTGGAGTGATAGCATTCAACATGGCCATTAAATTGGTGTTAAAACAAATTGTGTAACACCTGTAACGGTCACCACTAAGTAGGATTAAACTCAGAATTTAAAAATTGGAATTAAAACAGTATTAATTCCGTAACAGATGAGTTTAATCAGACCGTTGGGGTGCATGGAAAATGATACCGAAGTTAGGCATAACTTAGCCCGCAAGGCCAGCCCATTTCCGGACGACATTCGTGCCCGTAGGTGCCGGCGCACGCGAGCTCGGACTTGATTCCAAGCCTTTTTCATGTCCTCTAGTTGGATTTTGATTTGCACCCCGCCCCCCCCCCCCCCCCCATCCCCCCGCGCGAGAGAGCCTCTATGCTATACAATTCTACAAACTTGAAAAGAGCTCATGTATATAATGGGGGCAAATCTTGTTTCCAAACCAATGTGGGACAAAGTCCTACATTTTCCCTTCATTTCCCAACTTAAATGGATCTACTTTGAGAATCAATATCTCATTCACCCATTATCCGTTTTGAGCGTACAATATATCAATCTCTTCGTCTTACTACGAAGAATCCGAATCCACTTTGACCCGACCCAAATCGGAAGTGGACCCCACTGATAATTGTACCACAAAATAGCCACTTAATATGCAATTTTATGCCATTTTAAGCTAATTTTTCCAACAAAGAGTACACAAGGAACTTGTAGAAGATTATCATAGATGGGAGAATGGTCATAGTCATCAAGAATGTATTCCTCGTCATCAAAAGGGAGGTCATCACCATCAATCGAGTATACGACATCGATTAAATATAGAAAAACTAACATGGTCAACAAACAAGCCCAAATACTCAAATACAGGAACGCTCTGTAAAAAAATAAAATAAAATAAAATAAGATTAATTAAAATTATTATTGTTAAAAAAAAAGTTTAGTCAAAATAATCATGGGCCTCAGCCAGGCCATATGGCCGAGGCTGCCTCGGCCAGATTTTGGTCGCGTTAAAATAATAATTATAAAAAAGGAAAAAAACCAAATATATATTTTAAAAAAATCCTGGCTGAGGCCTCGCCTCGACCAGGCCAAATTGGCTAAGGTTGGCTAGGCCGAATCGGCCAAGGACGCCTCGCAAGGCAATTTATATCCTACACCACGGTGTGCGTTGCACTATGCGCCCAGATGCAAAACGACGTCGTTTTAATTTTTTTTTTTTTTTTTTTTTTGAAATTTCCTGCCCCAGTGAATGGCAGTAGTTTTTTCTTAAAAAAAAAAAACTCCGTTGTTCAAGAATGTACATAATGGTATACTAGAATACACATAATTGTATACATGAATGTACATAATTATATAACAAAATATACATACTCTTTTTAAAAGATAATACACATAATCTAACATAATACATAATAAACATAAACTTTTAACGTAATACACATCAACTATTAATATAATACACACAAATTTTCTAATTCGAATGTACATAATTGTATAAAAAGAATGTACATAATTGTATAAAAAATGTACATAACTGTATGAACCAATACACATAACTATATGAACAAATACACATAATTGTGTGAACAAATACACATAATTCCAACAACTTCTTACCGCGCCTCCCAAAACGACCCCAAAACAATGTCGTTTTGTGAGGCGCGCGGCGCACAGTGCTATGTGCGCCGTGGTGTAGGGTATAACGATTGGCCTCGCTCAGACTATGCTAGTTGAGACTGCCTCAGCCGCTCAAGTCTTAAAAAAATTACTATTAAATAAATAATGAAGAAGAAGACAGAAAACTTACAGGTGGAGACAAAGAACTGGTGGCAGGATGGTCAGAATTACTATGTATATGTTGAAGGTTTTTATTGAGGGGAGACATAAAATTAAAATAAAAAAAAAGTAAGAAAATATTTTGAAATAAACAGAAGGCAGGAAAATATTTCGAAAATAAAAGCATACATTCTAGGATACTTAAGAATCTTTGATGCAGGATTAATTTGATAGAGTTTTACTCATAAGCCAGCTCAAACACATTCGCAGACTCGGGAGTAGGGGGGCTGGTGACAGAATAATGGGACAAGCACTCGATCCGGGCCACCAACAAGCACCTCACCCGAAACTACCTAGAAGTCCAACGAACAGAATTATTTACTACGGGTCATTATTTACTACCGCTCATTCAGGACAGGGAAATAAGTGCTCGACTCCTCGTTATAATGTAACAGTTATTTACCGTTAGGAGACTAGTATAAGTAGAGGATTCTTTGCTGATCAAGACACGTTCTAATTCTTATACCAAAATACTTAGCAATACAACTTGTTACTCATATATTGTAATCTCCGGTAACTTATTTACGTCAATATATAAATTATAGACATACATAGACGGTAATTATTATTATCTTATTATATATTATATATTGTTTATTTTTAACAAAAAAAATATACGTATACAGCAAAATCCATTTATATGTTTTTTTTTTGTTTTTTTTTTTTTATTTCGCATAAGATTTCATATATATCAAAACTAAAATTTTAAAATTATATATATACTAGTTTTTTACGCGAAGAATGCCCAATGTCTTTTTTTTTTTTTTTTTTCTAAATAAGTACTTTAAAGTATATCAATGCAAGTTTATATTAGAATTATTCATGCATAGATAATTGAATGTTGAAT